GGTTTAGTAGTTTTCTTAATATTTTCTTGTAATATTAAACATTAACCACATATATGTTAAAATGTTCAAGATGTTCTCTTGTATGATTATTAATGTTCACTCATTTAACAAATGTTTATTGAATATATGGTGTATACTTGTACATCATTGAAGAAGACAGACATACTCCTGCCTTCATAGAGTTTATAATATATAAAGTATTTGTGAATAGGTGAATTGTATCTTCTATATACTGTTTCCCCCAATCACAGCACAGGAAGTCACAGTTGTGTAAGCTGTTAGAATAGAACAGAATTGTAGGAACCTATGCTATTAACTTTCCTTGTAGAACTGCTTAGAATAGCACAAAAATGAATTGATCTCATTCCAGCAAACAATGACAGCATTCAAAAATTTATGTGAAACTTAAAGACAAAACAAAACAAAACCTAACGTAAGTCAAAGGTCTTTGATGGAGCATTGTCAGAATTTCTGAAACTGCAAGTTGTTACACAGATGTATTGACTTAATTAGTCTAGATAACACCACTTATTTATGCTTAAGCATCTCACACATGCAAAAGTCGGTAATTCGAAGTCACACAATATTTGTGAGTTATCTTCTATATCACGAGTTGTAGTTTCTGACTACCAACTTCACTGAGTGTATATGAGATGCTTAAGCATAAATAAATTATATTATGTAGATCAAGTAAGCACCACAGTTGCTTCTGGACTTGTGTTTACATGGGGTATTGTGTAAAATCTTGTAATAATGGCTGTAGAGTGATGTGAATTGTTGTGAAACATGATTTAATCTCATACTATGGGAAGAGCTTCATTAAATAGAACATACCTGGAATCTACTGCCTGAGCCCTCTTTGAGAGTCTGAATGGATTCCTAATACACCATGCAACTTGGCAAAATTGTTTTGGTTAACCATGCAGTGGGTGTTTTGGGAGGACTGAGTTATACACTTAGAAAAAAAGATTAAACTTACTTTGTGATGGGTAAGAAACTGTATCCTGAATTCTCTTATGGGAGAATGCTCCTTAAAGACACTAGGCTAGTCTTTTTCTCCTCCTCCCTAATCCTCCTAATTTTAACTATAAGAACATCATGAGATTTAGCCAGGCGATGGTGTTGTACAACGTGGGAGGCCAGAGGCAGGCAGATCTCTATGAGTTCGAGGCCACCATGGTCTGCAGAGGGAGTTCCAGGACAGCCAGGGTTACACAGAGAAACTCCTGTCTCAAAAAAACAAAAGCATCACGATATTCTGTGTCTTGTCAGATTTTGCAGTACTGTTTCACACTTTAAAAAAATTCTATTAACTATATATATTTTTATCTTTAGCTAATTTAAGCAGAGCTTTTGTTGTTTAAAGAGTGATTTATTAAAATGTTAGACTGTAGCTAACACACTAGAAATTTAGATCATCTAGGTCTTTTCCTATATTGTTTTTCTCTTGCCTTAGAAGATAGACAGGGGTAACAGTAATCACCTTAGTTTTGCACATAAGAAAACAAGTTCAGCTGGGCGGTGGTGGCATACTTAATCCCAGCACTCGGGAAGCAGAGCCAGATGGATCTCTGTGAGTTCAAGGCCAGCCTGGGCTACAGAGCGAGATCCAGGACAGGCACCAAAACGATACAGAGAAACCTTGTGTCAAACAAAAACAAAAACAAAACAAAACAAAAAAACAAGAAAGAAAATGAGCTCAGGGCCCACTGAGGTGGATCAGCTGGTGAAAGCCTCCCTTCCCATGACCCACATGGTGAGAGAGAATCGCTGTTGCAGAGTTGTCCTCTGAAGCCACATATGAGCCATGACATGTGCATGCAGGCAGATACACGTGCGCACGCACGCACACACACACACACACACGTAAGCATAATAAAAGAAAACAGACACTCATAGCATTTAACATTTAAGCCTCTTGCCTATGGTTGGGCTCACTGAGAAGGTAGTACCAAGCACAGTTCCAGAGTACAGCACACTTCATTGGAAATTGATAGGCCAGCCATTATTTTCCCAGAAGTCCTGACTACTGATGGCTAATTCTTATTCCTGTGAGCTGTCTACTGTTTTACTCCAAGGATAGGTACCTGTTTGGAGGTTGGAGCTCCTATAATTTTCAAGGGACATTAGAACTCTTCCTGCTCAGTAGCACCGCTGGGTTAGCAGGATTCCAATAGGTATATTCGTGTACTCTAACGTGAGTTTCTTCAAGCTACCAAATGCCTGCATTGGTCAGTGTGCAAAGAATGTGCAGTGTCCGTGGTGATATATTGTGTACCTTAATACAAACCTGAAGATCAGAGGACAGAACAAGCCACTAGAGTAAACACAGAGGCCAGGCAGTGGTGGCACACCCTTTAATCCTAGCACTCGGGAGGCAGAGATCCTCCTGGATCTCTATGAGTTCAAAGCCACCCTGGACTACGTGAGATTAACTCGGTCTAGGAGAGAAAACAGGGCCAGGCAGTGGTGGCACACATGCTATTAATCCCAGGAAGTGATGGCTGGGCAGAGAAGGTATATAAGGCATGAGGAGACAGGAACTAAAGGCTTTTTTTCGGCTGAAGCCTTTTCAGCTGGAACTTTTCAGGCTGAGAAGTCCTAGAGGTAAGATGTGGCAGTGGCTTGTTCCTTTGTCTCTCTGACCTTTCAGCCTTTACCCCAGTACCTGGCTCCGGGTTTTTATTAAAAGACCTATTAGACTTCCTGTTATAAGTGTCTCTTTTGAAGCCATTGGCTGTTCCAACTTCATATTCCATGGTAAGATGTCTCATTTAATTGAACATAAGTGTACGTGAAGGGATAGGCACAAACCACGGCAAGGCTTTCGTGCTACCCACTGAAGCAGATACAAGAAATATAAGAATAAACAAAAAAGCCCACAAATGGGATTCCCAGCACTGGTACCTGGGGCATAGGCAGACTCAATTTAACATGGCAAATGCCCCCAGCCGATATAGGAAAAGTAATTATCCGTTTGGAAATGGGCAGCATTGCAGACGTAGTCAGGGTTCACTGTAGTAATTTGTGGTGTTAGACTTACAGGTAATATGAAGAACGAATATTTATTAAATGCAAGTTACAGCCAACTTTTTATTTGTGTCATTGATGAAAAGTAGGTTTTTTTATCCATCTCTCTTTTGGTTTTTCAAGACAGGGTTTCTCTGTGTAGTTCTGGAGCCTGTCCTGGAGGCACCACTGCCCGGCTCTGATACTATTTCTTCTTTCCATTCACAAATGGAGTCAAGGCCTTGATGCTTCCTTGAGGGAAGGCCCATCGATTTTATCCATCTTCAAGGAGTCTTGTTCTATTAGGAAGGGGTTGGGCTGGTGGGATGGCTCAGTGGGAAAAGCTGCATGCCACCAAGCATGATAACCTGAGTTCAGTCCCAGGACCCACATGGTGGAGGGAGAAAGCCAACCCCCCAGAGCTGTCCTCTGACCTCCACAGATGCACAAACATGAGAAGCCAATGGAGTTTTCCAAAAAGAAAAGGGAAATGTAGGACATGTATACACACATACAATACATAAATGTAGTTTAAAAAGAAAAACGTTAGCCATTCACTTAGCTCTTCAGCCCTGGGGCAGCTTTTTGTCATCATGGTCTGCTCTTACTTTTTTTCTGGAGTTGAAAACTACTGATTGCCTGGTGGTGGTGACACATGCCTTTAATACCAGCCCTGGAGTGGTGGGGGGTGGGGGAGGCAGAGGCAGGCAGATCTCTGTGAGTTTGAGGCCAGCCTGGTCTACAGAGCGAGTTCCAGGACAGCTGGCTACAAAGAAACCCTGTCTTGGAAAACCAAGAGAAAAGTGTAGTGATTTTAACTTAAATATTTGTTAAACCTCTATCCTTCCTTTCTCCCCTCTCAGTAATTATAGAGCATATAGTTTATTGTTTGATATTAGGCTAATATCTAGCCTGAACTAATTTTGGGGTAGGATTTTTGGGATGTGTCAGGTATTTGGGTTTTTTGTTGTTGTTGTTGTTGTTGAGATAAGACTCACTGTGTTGCCCAGGCTGGCCCCAGTCCTAAACTCCAGGGCTCATTAGTTTGCTTATTTTGTTTTTTGAGTTTTGTTTGTTTGTTTTTAATATTTGTTTTCATTTTATTCATGTGCATTGTTGTTTTTACCTGCATGTATGTCTGTATGAGGGTGTCGGATCCTCTGGAACTGAAATTACAGACAGGTGTGAGCTGCCATGTGGGTGCTGAGAATTGAAGAACAGCCAGTGCTTTTTTTTTTTTTTTTTTTTTTTGAGACAGGCTTTCTTGTTCCTGTCCTGGATCTCGCTCTGTAGACCAGGCTGGCCTCGAACTCACAGAGATCCGCATGGCTCTGCTGGGATTAAAGGCGTGCGCCACAACCCACTGAGCCATCTCCAGCCCTAGTTTCCTCATTTTAAATGACGTAATTGGACCCAGCTCTCTAGCCTGATGCATAATTGTGTTTGTTGGGTTTTGTTGATGTGTTAAACAGGGTCTCACTATGTAGCTTTGACTGACCTGGAACTCCCAGAGGTCTGCCTGTCTTTGCCTCCCAAGTGCTGGGGTTTAAGGTGTGCACCATTATTCTGTGTTCTTGGTTTCAACAGTAAAGAATGACCCAAGAACATTTAAGCCTTTGAAGTGCTTTTGTATCAGGCCACTCCCCCACTCCCCCCCTACCCCCATGCGTGTGTGAGAGTGTGTGTGGACAACTGGTGGGAGTCAGGTTCTGGGGTCACAGATCATCAGGCTGGGCTGTCAGTCCCTCACCTGGTGAGCCATTTTGACGGCCCAGGTCAGGTTCTTTTCCACAGGCTTTAAATAGAAACCAGAAAGCCTTCCTTCCTTTACTTTTGACCGTGCTAGAAGTTCTCCAGGCGGATGTGAACATTTACTTCCACTGTATTTAGCCAGTTGCTGCTAATCGTTGTTACTTGTCAGGAGCCAGATGCTCCTGTGTGCGCTGTTGGCGCTCTGCTCTGCTCAGCACTTTGCTGCCTCTCCTTTGCAGACCCCATACCATGTGAACCTCCTCCTGGCTGGCTACGATGAGCACGAAGGGCCAGCACTGTACTACATGGACTACCTGGCAGCCTTGGCCAAGGCTCCTTTTGCAGCTCATGGCTATGGTGCCTTCCTGACTCTCAGTATCCTTGACCGATACTACACACCAAGTAAGTACTAGCAGTCTAGTGGGAGAGCAGTAGCAGAACCCTGCCGTAGCTGCTTCCCAGTCTTGTCAAAGCTTGGAGTTGGCTGACTGCATCCTAGAGACAGGCTGGCTCCTCTCTGGAAGCTGATCTCTCTCTCTCTTGTGGGTCAGTACAGTCTTCCAAAACTTTATTGATAGAAGTCTGACTGCCAGGACTGGAGAGATGGCTCAGCAGTTAAAAGCACTGGCTGTTCTTCCAGAGGACCCAGGTTCAATTCCCAGCACCCACATGGCAGCTCACAACCGTCTGTAACTCCAGTTACCATGGCAAAACACAAGTATTAAAAAGTCTTAAAAAGTCTTCCTGCCAACCAAAATAAGCTGCTCCTATCTTTCAGCTGGGTTTTGCCTGGTGTGAAAGGGGTGCTGGAGTGAGCATCATCATGACTAGAGCGTTTTCATTCAGTTCTTAACTTGTCTGACATGTATTCTCTCTGCCTAGGTGATTATAGACATCTCATAGTCAGTGAGCAAGTAAACCATACAGTTTATGTACATGTTTGGAGCTTACCAGGATGAACAGGTCCTACCATGATAGCTGAGGACTTCTTTGTTTAAAACCATCAAAGCTCTTGAAGACCACTCCCTCCTGCAAAGGAAAATCCTTTCTTTCCCTATCCTGTCAGCTGGATGAAACTTGAGATGAGCAATGCTTTTGTGCTAAGTCTATGCTCTGACCCACTCCCAGGCTCAGCTCTAGCCACTCTGGACAGTGGGGACCTGAAATTCCTAGCGAATTCTCACAGGCCAGAGGTGCAGCCAGCTGAGCACTTCTCTCCTTACGCTCCGTTCTTCACTGCAGCGTCATAACAGTTGGCAGATTCTTTTCCTTCAGCTCCTGCCCTCTCACTCAACCTTAGCCATGCTAGAGCTCCAGGCCACATCCTGAAAAGAATTAGCCTGGCCTCCTGGTGACTGTCTCTTGATTTTGCATCTGTCAGTAATACAGCTGACTCCCCCACCAAAATAACCACCAGCCACCCTTGAAGCCTAATGCATAATGTGTCATCCCGGTTTGCCACGCCTACCAACAATCCCTTTGGACCCTGTTCTGAAGAGTCTCAGTCCATCCTCTTAACTGTCTTCCCATTGTTCTGCTGAGACCCAGCTGGGAGGAGCGGGAGGATGGCGCCCCAGCTGGGAGCGGGAGGATGGCGCGCTGGCCTTGTTCTCCCTTTCCCTGATTTGCAGCTGGCAAGGCAGATGGAATTGATTTAAGCCCTGGACTACAGGGACTGGTGAGAGTGAACTATGAAAAAGAGGGGCAGGCTGCTGGACTCTTAGAGGCGGGCCCAGGCCAGGGGAGACAGAATTCCGTCATGCTTCCCCTTCTCTGCGGCTGAAAATCAATTTGTAATGGCTCAGAGCCGTGGGAGCCCTCCTCTGCATATGGAGTAACTTTGTTGCAAGGTAGAAGTCTGAGTGTTTGCCTTTCCAATTGTGTGGCACTCAGACCTGGGGAAGTTTGAAACTTAATCACAAGCGGTAGAAGTCTGAGTGTTTGCCTTTCCAATTGTGTGGCACTCAGACGTGGGGAAGTTTGAAACTTAATCACAAACTGTTAAGAGCTGGAAGCAGGGCAGCCTGAATTCAGTGTTTGGCCTCTGTTCTCTTTCAGCTATCTCACGTGAGAGGGCAGTGGAGCTTCTTAGGAAATGTCTGGATGAGGTGAGTAGCTCCCGGGGGGTCCTGAAGGAATGTTTAGTCTCGGGTTGAAGTACCATTCCTGTTCTTGGTTGCTTTTTCCTGCTCTTTGCCAGACGGTATAATAAATACCCACAGACCAGATGTGAAGTTGCTCCCAGTGATGGAGGTTGATGTGGTTAATGGGCTTGTTTTTCTCTCGTGGGTCACCTCCTCATCAGTGTCAGTTTTACTGATTTAATTATTTTCCTTTCTGGTTAATCCAGACTAGTGGTTCTCAAAGTTCACTGTGTATCATCTGGGGGGAACTTTCCTTATCACTGATAGACCCCAGCACCCACTTCTAAACCATTTATAGGGAGGTAGAGACTGAGTGTCTTGTTTTAACTGGCAACCAATTGATTTTTTTTTTTTAAATGGTTTTTCGAGACAATGTTTTTCTGTATAACAGCTCCGGCTATCCTGGAACTTGCTCTGTAGACCAGGCTGGCCTCAAACTCAGAGAGATCCACCTGCCTCAGCCTCCCAAGTGCTGGGATTAAAGATGTGTGCTAGCACACCTGGCTAGGCAACCAAGTGATTTTAATAAGGTGATAATTAGGCCCCTGCGGTAAGAGACAGTGCCCTGGACTCTACACCTCCTGTGCCACCTTTAAAGTCTACTTCCTTAACAGTGCATTCAGGTGACCGTAGAGAGCACCTGGGAAGTTTGGGATCAGAAGTGGAAAGAAATCTTTGTTTTGGGAGTCCAAGAACCCAAACTCTACTCAGAGTAAGAGTGTAAGGATCTAGGATGAGACGGCCCAAAGTAGCCTCTTTAGCCTCTTCCTTCTTCTGTTTTTCTTGTGACCTAAGAAGGAACTTGAATGAATTGTCCAGTAAGAGGACAGAGCAGGTGAGAGCCTTGGCAGCACCGTCGGTCTCTGCCGCCTCTTGGATGACCCTGTCCCTTTTAGACCACAGTGCCCCATCCCTCTTCCTCTGTTCAAACCTCCTTTGCGCGAGAGCCGCTGAGAATCAGCTTGGGGGTTCTTGGCCAGTCAGCTGATAGCCAGTATTACTCACCAATATTCTAAGGGGGGCTGGCCAGGAAGGAGGCACCGTACTATCGGGTGCTCTTGAGATTTATTTCCCTAGGATCTTAAAAAAACCAGGACCAGGCATGGTGGTACATGCCTTTAATCTGAGTGCTAGGGAAGCAGGGGTGAGTGGGTGAATCCTGTGAGCTAGAGGCCAGCTTAGTATACACAGCAAGTATCAGGCTAATCAAAGCTACAAAATGAGACCTTGTCTTTAAAAAAAATTTTCTTAAGGAAAACATTTGCTTATTGTCACCTTTTCTTGAAGTTTGACCTTGATTCTAGACATGAGCCATCAGCCAGAAAGAACTGTGGAAATGGAATGGGCTGTTGTTACCCAGTCCTCATGGGCAACATGAAGGGAGAGGAGGAGGAGGGAGGGAGGTCAGAAGCCTGAGAAGATCATTTCCCAGCACCTGAGGGAATAGGTGGAGAGCCTGGGTCTTCTCTGGAGACTGTTGGGGAGGTTTCAGCAAGAGCAGCCACAGTTGTGACGACTTCCAAGCCATGCTCCTCACTAGTCACCTCGTGACACTGTCTGCTCCCATATGTGCGGACTGTTCCTTGAACAGCCTTAACTTGGACTACAAGAGACAGGGGCATGGCTTGTTCCAGGAATGTTCTCCATTCGCCAGGAATCATCCCCACCCACTCTGCAGCTGCACTCACAAACACTCGGGTAAATGACTAGCATAAACTGTTGGAACCTAGGATGTCCTGTTCGGGTCAGAGTCTCTTCTTAGACCTTGCTAGCTTACTACCTGGAGACTTTTTAAGAGGCAAGTGTGTTCCTATAGACGAATTGGTAGCAGACTGTGGGGATAAAAATTGGATTGCCTCGTGTACGGGCTGACTTGACCAGAGGCAGGCTCCCAGCTCCATTTCCCAGGTCATGGTCACTACTTTCCAGTCAGCCTCCAGCTACTGTATAGACATTCTTTAGTGACATAGCACTAGCTGCCCAGTTCCACAGAAGGAGAGGTTTTACACTCGACCTTTTAGCTTAGAACAGAACCTGCCACATACTTAGTATTCAGTAAATGTTTGCTCACTGATTTCCTTCATATCTCTGCAGCTCCAGAAGCGCTTCATCTTGAATCTGCCTACCTTCAGCGTTCGGGTCATTGACAAAAATGGCATCCATAACCTGGAGAACATCTCCTTTACTAAGAAGGGCTCCTAACGTCTCGTCCTTCCTCCCGCTCATCAGGGGACTTTTTTGATAGGCTCCTTAATTTTTTTTTCTACACTTTTGGCGTGCACTCTTGATAGATGATTAATCAAAATAAAGCTGAAGATAACTAAATTGAGCTTTCTGGTTTTGGTCTGTTTAGCTAACGTCGCATAGAAAGGAACCAACCATAAGGAGGGTCATCATCTTGTCAGGATGCTCCTTCCTGTCCCTCTCCCTCTGGTAATGATCTGAGTATCTCTGCCAGCTCGAAGCCCACACTGTCTGTCTTCCTCTCCAGCTTCTTCCAGCTCACTCTTTCGATTTCTGCTTGTTATGTCTTGTTCTCTCTAAAGCACTGCATCTCTTTGCCTTTGAGCTTAAATCTTTTGTTGACTGGACATGGTGGTGCATGCCGGTAGTTCCAGCACTTGGAAGTCAGAGGCAGGAGAATCTTTGTGAGTTTGAGGCCAACCTGGTCTATATAGTGAGTTCCAAGACAGCCAGGCTATGTGGAGAGACCTTGTCTCAAAAAAAAAAAAAATCTGTTGTGTGTTTTGTTTTGAAATATATGTATGCAATGTAGGGGACAGAGGACAACCTTGGGTGTTGCTCTTGGGAACACAGTGTGCCTCGCACCAACGTGCTCATGTTTGGTTTTATGGATTCTGAGGATCAAACTCGGGTACTCGTACTTATGAGTACCAGCTGAACTACGTCCCCAGCCCTTAAATCTTTTTCAGTTGATTAATGTACTTGGGAAATACGTCAACAGTGGAAAAACAGCAAGAAATTATTCCTCCTGTTATATCTGATCACTTTCTCAGACAACGTTTCAGCTGCTAGTTTCTTACATGTTTCTTTGTTTGAGACAGGATCTCATGTAGCCCGGGCTGGTCTTGAACTCTGTGTAGCTGAGGATGACCTTCAACACTTTGTCCTTCTTTCTCCGCTTTCCAAGACCCCGTGGGTACAGCCTGCTTCACTATGCCCCTTTGTACTTTGGGTGTTGGCGAGGGCGATACAGGGCTGGAACCCAAGTGCTCCGTCCTCAGTCCTCTTTTTAGTTTTTGTTTTGTGACAAGGTCTTGCTAATTTCCCTAAGCTGGTCTTGAACCAACTGTAACTCATGCTGGCCTTGAACTTACGAACTTCCTGCCTCAGCCTCACTAGGTAGCTAGGATTATGTGTTTTTACTTACCATCAGGCCCAGCTAGCTTGCTTGCTTCCGTGCTTTTTATTGTATTTATTTTTCATGTATGGGTGTATGCCTGCATGTATGTCTGTGCGCCATCTCTGAGCCTAGTGTCCGAAAAGGGCGTTGGCTCCCCTGGGACTGGAGTTTACAGACGGCTCTGAGCTGTCATGTGGTCCTGGCAGTTAAACCCAGGTCCTGCTTTCTTCCCTGGTTTTAAAGATACAAGTTTGCTAGGGTAGCTCGGAGGTAGAGTACCTATCTGCTCAACGAGTATCAGACTCTGGGTTTGAGCTGCAGCATCACACACAAAAATAAAGGCTGTTCTTGCCTAAGGGCTTTGTTTTGTTTTTTTAAAGGAGGTGGAGTTTTTTATTTAAAATAATAATAATGTGTTTATATGGGTCTCGGTCAGACAGGAACTTTGATGGAGTTGGTTCTTCCACCTTTGTGTGGGCTCTGGGAGTCAGACTTGGGTAGTCAGGCTTGTGTCACTGGTCATCAGGTACCTTCACCTAATGAGCTATCCACGGGTTTTCCTTCTTTTTAAACAGAATCTCACTGTATAGCCTAGGCTGATGTGGAACTTACTCTGTAGACCACGCTAGCCTTCAACTCACAAAGATCCATCTATCTCTGCCTCCTGAGTGCTAGCTAGGTCTAAAGGCATGTGACATGTTACCCAGTTAAGTTTTTTCGAGATAAGGATTCATTGCATATGTAGCATAGTCCAGGCTGTTCTGAAAATTGCTTTGTAGACCAGGCTGGCCTTAAACTCATGAGCCTTCTGCCTCAGCCTTTTTTTTAGGGGCCAGCAAGATGGCTCAGTAGATAAGGCTCCTGCTATTAAACCTGGGTTCACCCCTGGGATCCATGTGAAGGAGAGAACCAGCTCCTGAAAGTCTCCCCTGACCTCCATATGGCTCCATATGTGTGCCATACCCACACACTAAAGTAAACTTATAAATGTAAAAAAAAAATTTTTTTACATTTATAAAAAAATGTGTGGTGGTGTACACTGGAGGCAGAGACAGGAGGATCTCTGTCAGTTCCAGGCCAGCCAGGGGTGCGTGTTTGGTGTGTAGCAAGACCTCTTCTCAAAAAAATTTTTAGATGTTCTATGTATTTGATAATAACACTATCTTAGAAATTGTTTTGTGCCAATGCATATAAATCTACCTTATTCTTATGAACAGTTGCACTGTATTCCCTCAAATAGATATGCCACAGGTTAACCAGATAGCTAGACCCTGTCCTCCCAAGTGTGTGTATTTTTTTCCCTTGGGGTAACTGAACCAGTGGTCCTGGGGTAACTGAACCTGCGGTTCTGTGTGTGCGTGTGTGCGTGTGTGCGTGCTGGATATGAAACCCAGGGACTCATGCATTCACTCTACCACTGAATATTTCAGAAGTTCTTTAAACAGCAGGGTTGCTTTTTTTAATATTTTATGTGTATGGATGTTTTGGTTGCATGTATGTCGTCTCCACCACATGTGTGCCAGAGACCAGAAGACCATCAGATCAGAACTTGGAGTTAAGGATGGTTTTTGAGCTTCCATATGGGTGGTGGGAATGGAACCCAGGGGTCCTCTGGAAGAGCAGCTAGTGCTCTCAACTACTGAGCCATCTCTCCAGCCCCAAACAGTAGTGGTGCTTAAGCTGTTTGTGTCAGAATAACCTGAGGGAGTTTTCTTTCCTGGTGTAATTGATTGTACTCAACTCCAGATTTTAAGTTGCTATGCGGTTTGGTTTTTTGTTTTGTTTTGTCTTGTTTTTGGTTTTGTTTGTTTGTTTGTTTTTTGGTTTTTCAAGACAGGGTTTCTCTGTGTAGCCCTGACTGTCCTAGAACTCGCTCTAGACTAGGCTGGCCTTGAACTCAAGAGATCCACCTGCCTCTGCCTCCCAAGCCGTGGGGCTAAAGGTGTGCGCCACCTCCATGCCAGGCTGGACATGGGAATTTTAAGCTTCCCAAATAGTTCTTACCTTCTGTCATGACAGAAAACCACTGGATTGAGTTTTCTTGGGAGCTGTGATTCTGAAATGTAAGTTCGCATTCTAGCCCCTTAGGTTTTTATTTTTGTTTATTCCTTTTAGGTGTTTAGAGACAGGATCTCATATAGCCCAGGCTAGCCTGGAAATCCTGATTCTCTACCTCCCAGGTGCTGGGATAGCACAGGTGCCCAGCAGTGCATAGCTTACTATAGGGCTTAATGAAATACAGACCAGTAGGTCCTGCTCTTGTGGTTTGTGCCTGTGTGAATAAAGCCTGAGTTTTTACATCTGTTCTGTTTGCTGATGTTGTTCACTGTTTTGCTCACCCGAGAACAGTTGAAGATGGTTTGGCCTTAGACTAAAGTAAGACCTACTTTACCCAATCTGTACTATTTTATTTTTATATGAAGTTTTGTTATATAGTCCACATTGTCCTCAAATTCACAATCCTCCTGCCTCAGTGTACACCACCACACCTGGCATCTGTAATCCTAATACCACATATAGAAGCTAGGTGGTGGTGGCGATTGCCTTTAGTCTCAGCACTTGGGAGGCAGAGGCAGGCTCTACCAAGTTCCAGGACAGCCAGGGCTACACAGAGAAACCCTGTCTTGAAAAACCAAAAATAAATAAATAATGATACCACATATAGATAGGTTTTCAGTTTGTCTGAGAGAAGCATATCCTGTTTCTGAGATTGCTATCATTTTTCATACTCAATACTGAGTGAAAGTCAGTTCTGATGTCTTAGAGGCTTCTTTATACACTGATGCTAAGTGCTTAATGTAGTAAGAATTAGGTAGAAAGAGATGAGTGTCACTTTACAAGTGATTCTGCCTCCAACATCACGTGAAGGGGTTTGGACCCTCTGCTACATTCCTGGATCTCTAGGTATCTGCCTGAAGAGCTCCACAGGTGCTTCTCCTCACCCCTTGGGTGATACCTGCTGAAGCATGGGTATCTATAAAATGGTTGAAAGAGGACCTAGTTCGTAGTAGTCGTCTATGCAGTGATGTAGAGCAGGACCTGGTGTGTAGGAAATGCTCAATAAACATAATCATGGCTAAACTTGCTCCACAAAGAGGACTTAACCAGGAGTGAAAAGCTCAGTGCCTTTCAGTGTACATGTCTCCAGGCAGCCTCATGCAAACCCATAAACCCAGCTGTCTATCTTCACCCTCTATCTCTATTTTGAGCTACAAATCAATTTATTCATAGATACTTCAGCCCCAGCTTTAGAGACAGCAAGAACATCAACATGTCTAAAGCTGACTTTACCACCTGCCTCACTCCAAAGCTATCTAGTCTTTCATCTTCCAGCTACCCATGCTGGAAGCCTAGGCATTTAACATTTGAAATGTGTGTGTGTTGGGGCTAGAGAAATGGCTCTGGTGAGGAGCACTGGCTGCTCCTCCAGACATAAATAGTGCTTTAGTTGACTTTGTTGTATCCTAGGAGCAGTGTACAGTGTTGATTTCTATGTAAATGACTAGTATGTATTTACACAGTGGTTTGACAGTCTCACCCTCCTCCTAGGAGTGTCTGTGACAGAATGGAGCAGAAGTACTGGACCTACTATTTGTGTCTCCCAGATCATCAGATAAAGTTGTACATGGTAGAAAAAGGGACTGAGAGTTATACAGCAGCATTATATTCTAAGCAGTAGTAGCACATTTCAAGTAAGATTGTCTTTTTTTAAAATAAAATATTCAAAAAGTCAACAGCAGGGACTGGAGAGATGGCTCAGCAGTTAAGAGCACAGACTGCTCTTCCAGAGGACCTGAGTTCAATTCCCAGCACCCACATGGCAGCTAACAACTGTCTGTAACTCCAGTTCCAGGGGATCCAACACCCTCACACAGATGTGCACGCAGGCAAAACACCAATGCACATAAAATAAATTTAAAACCTGCGTGCATGCGTGTGTGTGAGATCAACTTGCAGTTTTCCTTCTGCCTTGTCCTGGGGATCAACTCCAGTCGTCAGGCATGGTGACAAGCACCTTTAACTCACTGAACTTTATCTCACTGGCCCTCTTTTATTTTAAATGAATTTGATTTTGGAATAGCTGGTTTTACAAAAAAGTTACAAAGGTAACATTTCCCTTTTAGTCCTTACTTCCCAGTCTCTGCTAACAGTAGCATCTTACATAACCATGCTACGTTTGTCCAAGCCAAGAAGCTGACATTGATACATTTGTATTGACACTAGCTTTTGTTCAGGTTTCATGTTTTCCTCTTCTCCTTTTTCTGTTCTCAATGCACGCTACCACATTGCTCTGTTTTTATATCACCCTTTATTTTCTTGCTATGACTTTGAGACAGGGTCTCTCTGTGTAGCATGGGCTGTCCTGGAACTTGCCATGTACAGCAGGCTGGCCTCAAACTCACGGTTGTTTGCCTTGGTGTACTAGGCATTTCATAATCCTCAGCCATCAGTTCCCTGGGTTCTTCTCCCTCTTTTGCTTGTCATAAAGCTCAGGGTCCATTTAGTTGGATCCCGAGAAATTTCTCCTTAATACTCTGATCCTTTCCAAGAAAGCAGGGAGGGCTTTCAGCATGAGCTTGCACACACTGAGAATCCGGATCCTTGCCTAATCCAAAGACTCCCTGTTTAATTCTGAGCTGGTGTTGCACCAGAGAAAGCAGTGTAAACCATTGTGCAAACCTGTTTGTAGCCATCTTTTCCCTCAGGCTAACCCCAGCCAGTCAGAAGCTTCAGTGCTGGTTAGCTGCAGAGGGAGAGTCCAGTGCCCAGGCTTCATGGGATGCTTCTTAGAGCAAGCACATACACAGTCTGCCCTGTACTGCTTCCTCTGCAGTGCTGTGGTCCTAACCATATGCTGACACTCCAGGGCCTCGGCACCAGGGCTGGGGGGACCTGCTTCCCGTGCTGGGGTCAAGCCTGTTGGCCTCTCTGTGGTAGGCCTGTGGGGTGCAGTGAAATGAAGATGAATTGAACAGCTATGAATAAACAGTGTGAAATCTACTGAATTTTGAGACAACACAGGCATTGGGCGAGTTACTCAGCTATAATTTTCTCCTAAAATAGGACTGATGACTATCTGGTTTTTTCCTTAGGAAAAGTTATCCAGTACTAAAAAGTTCTTGAAAAATGAGTTTCTTCTTTATCAACTTTTTAAAAATAATTAATTTTTTTATTTTATGTGCATTGGTGTTCTGCTTGCATGAATGTTTGTGTGAAGGTGTCAGATCTTAGAGTTACAGACAGTTGTGAGCTGCCATGTGGGTGCTGGGAGTTGAACCTGGGTCCTCTGATAGAGCAGTCAGTGCTCTTAACCACTGAGCCATCTCTCCAGCTCCTGTTTACCAACTTCTTATTGATTATTACTATATATAAGACAGGCCAATATTGCATAAGTACTGTATGTTTTTACCTCATTTAATCTCAGCCTCACATAATCCGTGATTTTGTTTGTTGAGACAGAGTTTCTACATAGCTCTGGCTGTCCTGAAACTCACTATATGTAGACCAGGTTGGCCTCAAACTCAGAGAGATTCACCTGCCTCTTTCTCCTGAGTGTTGGGATTAAATGTGTATGCCACCATGCCTGGCAGTCTGATAATTTTAAAACTCAAAGGTCTTGCCAGACCAAGGGTTTTGGTTAAAGGAGAGTATCCATCTAATTCTCATATTCTTTCCTATATATGGATTATGATTTAAGACATCTTGAGAGAACTGATGCCACAGCTCAATTGGTAGAGTCTTGCCCAACATATCGAAGGCCCTGGGGTTGTCTCTGGCACTGCAGAAACTGAGTAGAGTGATATTCCCAGATCTGGAAGGTAGAGTCAAGGGGATCAGTCATCCTCAGCTACATAGTGAGTTGGAGGCCAGCTTGGGGTACATGAGAGCCTGCCTCAAACAAAACGATGTCTTGAGAAAATAAGGGACATCCTTGGGGGACAGAATTTCTTTGTGTAGCCCTGACTGTCTTGGAGCTCACGCTAGACCAGGCTGGCCTCAAACTCGGAGATCCATTTGCCTCTGCCTCCCAAGCGCAGGCATTAAAGGCATGTGCCACCACTGCCCAGCTACATCTGTGGACTCTTCACAGAGACCGCAACCCCTTTGTCTAACAATACGTGTGCAAATACTGGAAGAGGAACAAACCAGGCAGGGACAATGTGCGCAGTGGCCTGAGACGTGACGTTTGAGGAGTATAAAGAAAGTTAGTGGCCAGTGGGTGGTGGCGCACACCTCTAACCCCAGCACTCGGGAGGCAGAGGCAGGTAGACCTCTGTGAGTTCGAGGCCAGCCAGGACTGTTACACGGAGAAACCCTGTCTTGAAAAACCAAACAAAGCCGGGCGGTGGTGGCGCACGCCTTTAATCCCAGCACTCGGGAGGCAGAGCCAGGCGGATCTCTGTGAGTTCGAGGCCAGCCTGGGCTACCAAGTGAGTTCCAGGAGAGGCGCAAAGCTACACAGAGAAACCCTGTCTCGAAAAACCAAAAAAAAAAAAAAAAAAAAAAGAAAAACCAAACAAAAAGGAATTAGTTGCTATAGAGTGAGTGATGAGGAGAATCATTAGTGAGGTTGGAGAAGGCAGCAAAGTTCAGATGATTGCATAGGGCAGCCTTCGGTCGGACGGAGGCGCACCGGTGAAAACAGCCTGACTGGGAGGCTGCTGTTGCAGGCCTGAGGAGTGATGGAGACGGAGAGAAGGATTAAATAGGACGCCCCAGTTCCTGGTAGAGGTGGTGCTGTTAGCAAAGACGGGACAGTTAGGAGGCGTTGAGTCAGGCACCCCATCTGGGACCTAAGTTTGAGGTGCTTGTCAGACCGTATGTCAGAGACACCAGGTAGACAGAGGACATCCCAGCCTGGAGTTCAGAGCCATCCATCTAGGGAGACACTGGCCCCAAGAGCCAAGATTTACAAGGAGGCACAGTAGGAACTGGCCAGGTCAGGTGAGACGGGAAAGCTGGAAACCACACAGCATTTCAGAAAAGACCAAGTACACCAGGTGTGGCACAGTTCCAGTACTCGGCCTGACTGTAGTTCAGAGGCTGGTCTGGATTATGTGAAAACCTGTCCAGAAAACCAAAATTTTAAGAGCAATTTTTTGGTTAGTCACATCAAATTAAAAAAGAAAAAAAAGGCTCTAGCTTTGAGCTGATCATTGATGCCCATGCTGAATAAATTTAAACAGACTGGCAGGGGCGTCAGTGAGTTGAGAGTCAGGAGTGAGGAAATAGAGGAAAAGGTGTCTTCCAAAAACTTTAACTGCAAAAGACAAAAGGAGGTTTTGTGTTTTGGGAGGCAAATCCTGGAATATGTGTGCTTTAGGTACGGTCTAGTAAAGGGAAAGACTATCAGGAAAGATGTCTGAAGAGTGAACTCCTTCAGAAGGTGAGAGCTGAGTCAGCGCTTGCCCTGTTTAGACACTGGCACAGACTGTCTACCTACAACCATGGTAACATGCTGGACAGACTGGACAGACAGGCCCAGCAAGTACAATAAATGTGTACCGTGTTCACTTGACGCACACACACAAATAGCCATACTGATGTGACGAGGCATGTAGACTCCTAACATCAGTACCCACATTCAGAAGAACCTACTGTCTAACAGAATCTTTCTTTCCTTCTTGTGAACAAAAAACATGCTCCATAACTGCCCAGGTGGACATGCTGGGGTATGAGCAGAAGTCAGTAAAATGAACCCCCAACTCATTAGGATAAATAACTCATGCTGCACCGGGAGGCTGTAGCGCACACCTTTAATCCCAGCACTCGGGAGGCAGAGGCAGGTGGATCTCTGTGAGTTCGAGGCCAGCCTGGTTTACAGAGCAAGATCCAGGAAAGGTGCAAAGCTACACAGAGAAACCCTGTCTTGAAAAAAAACAAAAAAACAAAAAAACCTCATGATGGACAATTTCAAATTTTCAAATTTAATTACATTGTACATAAATAAATAGGGCAGACAGCAACAAGTCTGTGGTGTGCAGCCTGGGTTCAAGTTCTGGGATTTGTGCTGTACCATCTTTATTCCTCAGGGGCATCTCCCGCCCACTCTTCTCCAAGAGCAGGAAGGATCCAATGAACCCCCTCGGACCTCCTGCTAGCCCCCACGTTCTGGGGTTAGGGAATTCTGGAGTGAAGGTCACTAACTCTTACTCAGTAGCACCTGGGGTTTGTTAATGGCGTCCCCTTGGGGCGCCCACCGCCGCCCAGGCGTCTCAGTGGGAAGGGCTCTGACCCATGAACCAGACTTTTCCATGACAGTTTCCTGTCGGAGCCTTACCAGAAACCTCCTTCCTGACCCAAGCAGGTTCCACTCTGGGCTTCTGCATGAATGTTCTCTCTCTGACCTGAATGGAATCCCACCTTTTAGTTCTCTCTGGGCCACCCGCAGCTGCCAGGGCCTCATCTCAGGCATTGGGAGTCACTTAGCTACAGAGTGAGAGTTACTTCCGGTGCTTGGCATCCTTCTCTGAGGCCTTGGTCTCTCCGTGCCCACCGCCCGTACTGCTCAGAAACATCTTGTCCAGTCCTTTGAGCGACTCTAGCAGGTAGTTCTGGAAGGCGGTGAGAGCCGCGCAGATGGCAGGCCCGCCGAAGCCGTGAGTGATGAGGCTGAAGTGTGTCAGGCAACTCTGGACCCCGGGCTCCAGGATGAGGGCTGGGCGGCTGTTGCCCAGCGGGGAGCGGTCCTGAGCCATCAAGTCTGCAAACTCCTTGCAGATCTGCCTGGTGGGGGGAGAACAGTCAGAGGTTAAAGAACAAGGTTCTAAACGCAGACAAGGACCTATTTTCTGACTCTTTTTGAGACAGGGTTTCTCTATGTAACCATAGCTGTCCTAGGACTCTATGTAGACCAGGCTGGCCTTGAACTCACAGAGGTCTGCCTGCCTCTGCCTCCCAAAGGCTGGGTTTAAAGGCGTGCGCCACTTCACCCAGCAATTTACCGAATGAATTCTTTATTTATACCCTCCGAACAGTTTGACCTTCCTGACAACCTCCAAGTAACAATGATACCATTTTGCAGAAACGGAAACTGACTTTCACAGAGGTTAACTCAGCATCTCAGTGCTGTGCACTTGTGAACAACACATGCTAATACCCTAATTTCTCTCCCTCAGATGTCCTGTCTACAGAATGCACCTCAGCTGCCTATTCCCTTAAACTTTCTGTGATCCCTTCTTTCATCCTAAACGCAGTGCATCACAGGCCCTTGTCTGTGAAATTATGCAAACAGTCCAGAACCTGCCTTGCATAACTAAAATCTCAGCAAATGTTGATGCCCAGATCAACCATGTACACTGTATATACCGTCTCACATCATCCCAACAAATCTATCCCATTAGCCCCATCATATGGTTCCAGACAGATGAGGTGACCTAATCTGTAGTCATTTTACATCATCCAACAAATCTATGCCATTATCCTCATCATATGGTTTCAGATAGATGATATGACCTAATTTGTATATGCCATTTTACATTATCCAACAAATCTATACCATTATCCTCATCTTATGGTTCCAGACAGATTAGTGGCTGAGATGAGACTCGAATCCAGATCCAGCCTATGGTTGTTTCCATTCCTTTGTGAATTATATATGTGACTCAGGTCAGAAGATCCATCATCTCTCATCTTTGTGTCTGGCTATGCATCTTAGACAAACCAAGGTCCCAAGAGCACTTGATGCAAGAGCTGATTCATATTCATGAACGAAGTGGACTCCATTTGGACAGGCTCCTCTAGCCCCAGGAAGAATCCTTCCAGGACTCTGTATTGAGTAATCCTGAGTCTGGGTCTTTTGCTGCCTGAAGGAGGAAAGCCCCAGGTGGAGAGTGGAGCTGTGATTTGAAGGCCAAACCCACAAAAGTCAGCTGGGCGCCGGGCGGTGGTGGCGCATGCCTTTAATCCCAGCACTCGGGAGGCAGAGCCAGGCGGATCTCTGTGAGTTCGAGGCCAGCCTGGGCTACCAAGTGAGTTCCAGGAAAGGCGCAAAGCTACACAGAGAAACCCTGTCTCGAAAAACCAAAAAAAAAAAAAAAAAAAAAAAAAAAAAAGTCAGCTGGACTAGAAGTCTGAGTGGTCCAGACTGTGAGGTCCTCAAAGACATCTGGACTTCAGCCTGCAGAAGACAGTTCTGAGTTCTTGACCTCCTCTATCCCTTTCTTCCCATCTCTCCTCTGTCTTTTGTTTTTTCCTTCAAGGAGACTGCTTCCTTCCAAATGAATGTTTGTAGCCTTCTGGGTTTTATATTTTGAAATCTTCTCTGAGATATAAAGATAGAACCGTTGGGAGGTGATGAGGTCATAGGAATAGAACCCTATAGACCAGCAGTCCTCGACCTTCCTAATGCTACGACCCTTTTAATACAGTTCCCACATTGTGGTGACCCCCAATCATAAAATTATTTCATAGTTACTTCATAACTGTAATTTTGCTATTGTTATGAATCGTGATGTAAATAACTGGTATGCAGGCTATCTGATATGTGAACCCCCAATGGGGTTGTGACCCACAGGTTGAGGACCACTGCTATTGATGCTATTAGTGTCTTTATGTGCCTTTACCACATAGAGAACACAGTAGCATCAAGTGTTGTCTGTATGTTAGAAAGCAGGCCCTCACCAGACACAGACGCTGGCTTGATCCTGAACAGCCTCCAGAACCCTGAGACATGAGCTGCTAGCCGGCTTAGGGTATTGTATTAGCGACCCAGGGGTAAGACAAGAAGACCTGAAGTGACATCATGCAGTCGATGGTGAGGCAGGTGGCAGTGAGGCCTACTGAGGGGTCAGGACCTCAGGAGAAAGGCCACAACAGCAGAGTAACCCCTGTGGACACATGCCGAGGCCTGGGCTGGTCAGGCCACAGACTATCGTAGGTGAGTGTAGCACCCACACATGGGCTGTAAGCCTGAGTATGACAGTTTTTTTTTTTTGAATGTATGCATACAATAGATATGTTCACTTGTGGTGTCCGTGTGTGCCCTTGGGAACTTGTGGGGGTGTTCATAAAGTCTAGACGTGATGAACACGGTACCTAAAGATACCTACAAACACCCATGTGAATGGCATGTACAAGTGTTCCCATGCGAACTTACATAAGCAATCTAGCTGCCATGCATGGTACCATAGATGCTGTATGAACGTGTGTATAGTCATAAGTAGTATCTGATGCAGCCAGGTCTGACGTGCATGTCTGTATTGCATCCATGTTTGCCATGCCCAGTGCCTCACTCACTTGGCAGCCAGCAGCATGCTCTTGCGGCTGTGCAGTTCTCCAGGGTCAGCGTGCTGTCGGCATAGGTACTCAGCAGCTGCCTTGGCTGGAAACTCCGTCTCACAAACATAACCAAAGTCCCGAGCCAGGTGCACGGCTTCTCCTGGGGAAAGAGGAGATGTTACGAGGTGCACCTCTGAGACCAGAGCCTCGCCTTGAACTTCTTATGCCCTGGCTAAGGAGCATCCTGCTCCTGGAGATGCCCCCTCTGGTTTTACTTCCCAGTTCCAGCTTCATGTTCATCACCCTCAGCTCAGAGATGGAGCTGGGACCAGTGTGTATCCCAGAACCAGAATCCAGAGTCACCAACCTCTGGGAAGAGGGATGCACGCCCTCACCTACTTACCATGTCCAAATACTGGACACTTACCCTCCCCCCAACATACAACCCAAGTAGCTCTACTGCATGTGCACATATATGCACAGACACATCAAAAGGACTAGTTTCAGAATTTCCCACAGATACCAAAACAAGTGGGTACTGAAATCTCTCACATGAAATGGCATGGTGTTTGCATGCAAGCCTACTTGCATCCCCCATATGTTACAAATTGTTTCTTGGTGACTTAAAATACCTAACACCATATAGATGTAAGAAAATAGCAACATGCGTTATTGGTAATAATGACCAAAATATGTCTTCATGTGTTCAGCACAGATGCAGCTTTTTCAAATATTTTGAAGCCTGGGTGGTTAAATCCTCATATGGGCTGACTGTCCACGTGTATCACACATATACTCCTTTATGCATGACACACTGAGTGCATGCACAGGTATAGCAATGTTCATAGACATAACTAAACGTTACCCTCCTACATTAGGAAGTCTCACCAGACGACATGTCCCCTCACATTCATATGCATAGTCTTCAGGCCTCACTCACCCTCCACCAATGAGGTCAGCAGAGTCACATTGGCTGCCTTCCGACGACCAGCTGGCAGGTTGAGCCCAATCTTCTCCAGCCGTTCCCGCAGACACCGGCCCCCGTTCTTGGACTTTGCCCTTAACATACACAGACAGAGACATACACACAGCTGTGAAGGTGAGAGAGCAGCCGACAGGCTAAGTGACTCCAAAGGACCTTCCTTGTTCCTGTACCAGCCCCTGTTAAGGCTTGGATGTAGCCTTGTCCTTGGGGGGTCTCTGAGGAAATCCCAACCTCTCCTGACCTCTCTGTGGTGAGATTGGGATAAGGAGCAGCACCCTGACATAGGAGTCTTCCTTCCTCCCCAGTCCTCTCGATAGCAGGGCAGCCCAGGGTGGGCAGGACAGGGTAGCATCTGAGGGTCCTTCCTCCTCACATTAGCTCACTTGCTGGGGACACATAAAACTGCGTACAGAGACACAGGAATAACAAAACCAAGGAGACAGGACTGTATACAAAGTCAGTTACATATTCACAGACGAACCCATCATTGGTGTCTCCAAGAACATGGAGACACATAAGTAACATTAGAGACACACAGACATGAACACCAAGGAACATACAGAGACACACGTGCACATCAGGATCCCAGAGATGTGCACACAATCCCAGGGACTTAACAGGTCCATACAGGATGTTCAGAGACCAAGATTAAGAAGATACTTCTCTAGCTGCACAAATGTGCCCCCATACACACAGAGGTACACACATGCACACAACGAGCTGCTTAGAGAAAAGACGTTTGAGAGAAGAGTGAAGAAAAAGAAAAAAGAATCTGGGCTGTGGTGGCGCACGCCTTTAATCCCAGCACTCTGGAGGCAGAGGCAGGTGGATCTCTGTGAGTTCAAGACCAGCCTGGTCTACAGAGCAAGTTCCAGGGCTACACAGAGAAACCCTGTCTCGGAAAAAAAAAAGAAAAAAAAAGAAAAGAGAGAGGGAGAGGGAGAGAGAGAGAGAGAAAGAAAGAAAGAAAAAGAGAGGGAGAGAGAAAGGGAGAAATAAAGAAAGAAAGAGAGAAAGGGAAAAGAAGAAGCAAACAGCAGCAAACCGACTGTCTGCAGATGCTCATGTGAATGCAGATGCCCCACTGTAGGCCACACGTTCCCAACTAATGCAGAACCTCACACTGGTAGAAACACACCCTTGGCCATCCCCTACCTCACACACACATGCAGTCCTTACACCTTATCCCTGAAGTAGATCCCCTTCCCGGACATAAGAACATGCAGAGAGAAAACCACGGCCCACCATGCTGCTCACCGCACACTCACACCTGAGCCCTGTGCTGCTGTGGGGAAGCGATGAGGAAAGAGTCACTCTTTCCAGAACCAGCCCTGCCCACCCTGCCCAGTGTAGTCGTTTCTCTTCGTACCTGCACTTCGTTCTCTGCCCCTGCTCAACCTCAGACCCAGCAACTCATGGGAGGTGCTGGGGACCTCAGCCTGCCCCTCCCAGACCATGGACAATCTTGAGTTCCCAGGCACTGTTCTATTAGAGAAACAGAGGTGGGGATGATGTTGGGGCCTGGAGTGAGGTTGACCCTGTCTCTGATGCTGTGAGGTCTGAAGAGACTAAAGATTTGGGCTGGGATGCTGTGTAGGGCTGTGGGCTGGCCTTCCTACCTTCGGAGGACACCCCCCAGGAGGGAGGCGTTGAGGCACTCCGGAGGTGAGAGTCGCCGCTGCACCTCCCCCACGGTCACCTTGTACTTGGACGTTGAGCTGAGCAATGACAGGCGGCCAGGCACAGAGCAGAAGACCTCACTGGGGTTGCTGATGCCGCCAACCAGGCTGTCTTTGGCCAATGAGAGGGCGGAGAGGCTGCCGGCTTTGGAGGGGATGGGGACTGTGGACAGAAGCAAAGGAAGAGAGAGGTGGGGATACTGAGTCAGCGACCACAGGACAGGCATCAGTCGGCTGTGGTGCAGGCAGGCTGAGTCACCAGCTGCGTATGTTGAATGATTCCAACACTTTCCAGAAGGAGGGCTCTACAACCCCTGCTTTACAAAGGGAGAAACTGAGGCACCGTGAAATGGAAGTGACGGGCCCAAGTAAATTGATGGGCACAACACCGAACCCAGAGCTGTCTGGTTCTTGCCCTGGTATCCCCTTCCAGAGCCCTGCTGGTTCCCTCTTAAAGCTTGGCATCAGCCAGATGTTGGCATCGTCAGAGAAAAAGCCAGACACAAGGAAATGGAGTCTACGATGAGGTGGGATTCCTGGGTCACTGTGACAAGGTTGGGAAATCACCCAGATTCCAAAGTCCCCTTCTGTATATGAATCTCACCCTCCCATCCTGGGGATTTTGGAGTCCCACACGTTGGAAACAGGACATTAGGGCCTTATAAGGCCTCCAGCTTTCCCCCTCCCTTCCAGGTCCAGAAGAAAGGGAATAAGTGTCTATATGCCCCATAACACCCTCTCCTAAATGTTCTCCGTGTAGGACAAGGAGGGAGTCAGAGAATTTCCCAAACTCTTGGCTCAGAAAGGAAATTCCATGTGGTGTCTCCATCTCCCTTCTTAACTGTAGAGGAAGGAATGTTCAAGGAAATGAGGCCCTGATAGAGAAGGCCTATGTGTGGTGGGGACTCTGCACTGAAGTACTAAGCCCTCACTGCTACGTTCATACACATTATACCTCAGCCCTCAAACCTTCAGGACAATCCATGATGGGGCTACCCTGGTTCTCACTCTACAGGTGGGGAGACTGAGGCCCAGAAAGGTGAAACAGTGTGCCTGAGATCATCTAGCTGGTAGACTGTACAAGCAGCAAACCCAGGACCAGAGTCTCAAAGGCAGGGCTCTTAGCGTTCCCACTGTTCAGAGAATACTTTCCCAGCACCCCCATCTCAAGAAGTTCCAGGACTCAAGATTACAGAGCTTAAAGAGAACCCAATCCCAATCTGGCACCCCCACCCCCACCTTGCCACTCAGCCGGAAACTTCTGTAATACTCCTAGTCATCTCTTGCCTGCCACACCCCACACAGGACCATGTCCTGTGGCTTCCATTCTTAACCTGCCTGAGAAGCAGGCTCTCCTCATGCATGCAGACACTTACGTTTTGTCTGGATTTGTGGGCAGCCCTCGCTCTTGTCTGCCTGCCCTAGTCTAGAGGAGTCTTTCTGAAACATGGATCACTCCCTAGCCTCCAGCCACCAGTGCCTGGGTAGCTCCTTGAGAATCAAATCCTAGCCCATAACCAGATAGGATGATGCCCCCTATCAACGAGTGCCCATCACACCCCGTAAGCTCCTCCTGGGCAGCTCCGAGGAGCAGCACTGTTCTCCATATCCCCACATAGAAGGAAGAAATTGAAAGTTCAGAGGTCAGAATGACATCATCTACTGAGCAGAAGTGGGTCATGGACTCTGGCCACTGCTCCCAAAGGTCGCATCCTTCGTCTATCTTTGCCTCCTTCACCCTCCTTGGTGTCCTGGCTCCTGCCTTTTTTCCTGCCTCTTGCCTGGTCCTCATTTGTCTTTTAGGCTCTATACTAAAAAACTGACCATAAGAACATAATTTAGGCCACAGCATTAAAAGGCAATGGGCAGAGCAGCGGTGGTACACGCTTTTAATCCCAGCACTTGGGAGGCAGAGGCAGGCGGATCTTTGAGTTCAAGACTAGCCTGGTCTACAGAGTGAGTTCCCAGAGAGCCAGGGCTACACAGAGAAACCCTGTCTCAAACAAACAAACAAAGTAATGATGGCTCAGTGGTTAAGAGCACTGGCGTCTCTTGCAGAGGACCTGGGTTCATTTTCCAGCACCCACACGGTGGCTCACAACCGTCTTTCACTCCAGTTCCATGGGATCCAATGTCCTTTTCTGGATTTCTAGGCACTGCACTCTGGTGGTACATGTACACACAAGCAGGTAAACACACACACATATATAAAAATGAATCTTTAAAGGGAAGAAAGTGAGAGCCTGGTGAGGTCACACGCCTCTCATTCCAGCATTCTGGAAGCAGAGGCAGGCAAATGGGTCTCTGTGAGTTCTGGGCCTGCCAATGATACAGAGTGAGACCCTATCTCAAAATAAATAAACATCTGTAAATCAGCACTCCTATGAATAACTAGAAGGTGGAGACCAGAAGAATCATCTGGAAGCCCTTGTACCAGCTAACTTGGAGTCTGCTGTGAAGCAGCAGAAACTGCACCTTTAATCCCAGCACTCCAGAGGCAGAGACAAGTGGAGCTCCATGAGTTCGAGGCCAGCCTGGTCTACAGAGTGAGTTCCAGGATGGCCAGAGGTACATAGTGAGACTCTGTCTTGATAAAAACAAACAAAGGAAAAAGAAACCAGTAAGTCTCGATAAGGTGGAATGTAAGAACTGGGTCCCAAAAATTGTCATCTGATTTCTACGCATGCCCCTATGGCATGGATGTGCCCGCATGTGCATGCCCACACACAAATGCACACACACACACACACACACAGACACACACACGAATGTACACTACATAAAATAAAATAATAAATAAATAAAGGCGGGGGCGGGGGATAGGAGGGACAATGTGACTGTCCTCCCTCCATGACTCTTAGCCAGAGGAAGGTGTCAAGAGAGCCAGGAGGTGTCAGGAGAGCTGGAAGGCAGAAGTTTTTCTCTTTCACACAGCTATTATTAAAGGCTGGTGTCCCCCAAGGCCAGGCCCTGCGAGACAGGAGAAAGACCAAGGCTTTGTGGAGCACTTAGCACTCGTTATAAAACTAACTGCACAAGAACAGTGTGTCCTGTTGGGCACAGTGGCACACACCTTTAATCCCAACCATTGGAGGCAGAAGCAGGCTGATCTCTGTGAGTTCAAGACCCGCTAGGGCTGCATACTGAGACCCTACCTCAAACAAAACAAAACAAAAACAAACTAGAAACCAGTATTTCCTTAGAATAGGTACACACAACAAGGGTGAGATTACACATGACATGCTGTTTTCCTCCCATATGCACAGAACAGACCCCAGCACAATGACTCCTGAAGCCAAAGTGGTCTGACCACGGCATCATTCATGATGTCATCCCCGTCATTCATACAGAAGCCATTCACACATTCTTAAGACACTGGTCAATAACACAAGGGCTCCTAGTTACTCAACCTGTCAGACAAGACACTCCCATCCAAATCTCCACTCTTTCCCAAGTAGTAGACATTGTCTGGCTACTGGGTGTCAGTTATGATTGCAATAGACTCTTCTAGAAAACATGCTAACACTACAATTCCTTCCAGAAGAAAATATAGGATAAAACTTTTCAAGACCTTGAAGAGGTGGGCAAATAATTCCCAGTTATAATACCCAAAATACAACATATAAGAGAAAGCAATTATAAGTTGGCCATCATTGAAATTAAAAAATTTTGTACCTCAAATTAAGAAAATAAAAAGACGGCCAGGCACAGTGGGCACACAACTGTCTCCTCTGAGAGGCAGTTTGACACAAAGTTTAAGGCCAGCCTGGGCAACACAGCAGAAATCCTGTCAAAAGATCTAGGGCTTGGGGCTGGAGAGATGGCTCAGTGTGAAGAGCCTGGGTGCTCTTCCAGAGGACCAGGGTTCAATTTCCAGCACCCATATGGCGAGAACAACCATCTGTAACTCTAGTTCCAAGGGAGCCAATGCCCCCTTCTGGCTGCTGTGGGCACTGCATACATGTGGTCCACAGACCTGTATGCAGGCAAAACAGTCGTACACATTAAAAAAAAAGAATTGAAAGAAAGAAAGAAACCTAGGCTCCGGGGCTAGAGAGATGGTTCAGCAGTTAAAAGAACATAATGCTCTTCCAGAGTGCCAGAATTTGATTCCAGAACCGTATTGGTTGGTTCACAACTGCCTGGAACTCCAGCTTCAGGGAATCCAGTACCTCTGGCCTTCACGATCACCTGTATTTGTGTGTAGATACACACATATACATATAAAATAAATCTTGAAAGAAATAAAAACCCAGGGCTGGGGATGCAGTTTAGTCTCCGAGCTTTGGATGAGCACACAAGGCCTTGAACTCAAATTCCAGAATAAAAAAGAGGAGGCGGGAGGGGGAAGGAAGGGAAGACTGGAAGAAGATATATAGACACTTCACTAAAAAGAATAAGATAACTGACCAATATGCCCATGAAAAAATGCTCAGCACCGTTAGTCATTAGGAAAATGCAAATTAAAGCAGTATGGAGACACTAGATGGTTATAATAAAAAGGACAGTGTGAAGTGTGAGGGTGTGGAGAAACTGGAGCACCCACACAGAACTGGAAGGATGTGAAATAATTCAACCACTTCAGGAAATGACTGAGCTCTCCTTCCCCTCTTTCCTTCTCTCTACTCCCCCTCTCTCCCTTCTATCCTTCCTCGGACGGACTCCACTTATGGGAAGTTTCTTAACAAACATAAATGGACCAGGGCCTGGAGAGAAGGCTCTGTGGGTAAAAGGCCCTGGTCACTGAAGGTAGTAGTGACCTGACTTCAATGCCCAGTGCCAGCACAGTGAAAGGAGAGGACCAATTCCTAAAAGTTGTCCTCTGAGCACCCATGGCACACACCACACACACCACACACACACACACACACACACACACACACACACACACACACACACACTCACCTGATAAATAAATAAATAAAATAGACCACACAGGGCATCAATTCCATTCCTAGGAATTTCCCCAAGAGCAGGAAAAGCACGTGTCTACCCAAAGGCACCTATATGAATGTCCATAGCAACATTATTCATAACAGTCAAACAGATTGACTCAGAGCATCTACCACCTCGTCAAAAATAAAAGTCCCCTGAGGGGCTGGAGAGGTTTGGGGACACTTGTTATTCTTGCAGAGGAAGGTGGCTTACAACCACCCATTTCTC